AGTATGCCTCGAGGCGCGTGCGCGTAGCCTTGAACTATTAATCATGCTTCCATCACGCTGCTGGACAGGACTGCCCCCGCGGCCTGACGCCATGTGGCGGCCGTGGTGGCCTCTCTCCCTAGTCTAGATAACCCTTTTAAAGTTGATTGAGTTGATGGAGGGCTGATAGTAGTTTGTTTGTTTGCCTCTGTATTATCACCCGTATTATCACTCTGTATTAGTAGATACAGCAAACTCTCTCGCTCTCGCTCGCCCTCTCTTCCTCTCTCTCTCTCTCTCTCGCTCTCTTTCCTCTCCTCTCTCACTCTATTGGCCTGCGTTTTCATTTTTGTGCTGACGTGGGCAGCGTGGGTGCTGTTAATGTCACAGGAAAATGAAGAATCTGCTCGTTCTATTCCGGATGTCCGCATGAGAGGCTACAATTTCCCCACTCTAAGGAAATGAGTTTACGCGATAGCTATAGGAGTTTATCCCGCTTTGGAGTCAAGATTCCGCCAGACGTGGACAAAGCTCGTCGAAACCCGGGCATGTTCCGCAAAGGTCCGAGTGTAAAGCTCGATGGGTTTACGTTCTGATGTCCAGTTGCGTTTGTTTGTAAGAGATTGCAGTGTTTCTGGTACGATATCTGCGCGTCCGTCTCGATATCTCTGTGGGTATGGAAATATTTACAGCCGATGATGGGAATTGCGGAGTGTGTATGCCTTCGTGAAATGCGGGGCATGCACAGCGGCCGAGTGAATAATGCGGATGGAAATTTTTAATGCGAGTCGACGGCAAATCTGAATGTGAATCTCGTTTGCAACAAGAGTGAGTTCTCCTGGGTGTGTGCTCGGAAGTAATCACACCGTTGTTCTGAGCCTTGATGTCCAATAGATTAGCCGTAGGCTCTCTTATCTAATAATGAAGTATTAAATTAGTACCGCAGTTGAAGGTCTCCCTGAAGGTTAAACGAAGCATGTTAGATGATTTGCCAACAGGTGCTGGTTAGTATCTCGTACGACAACGAGTCATCCATTCACCATCTACTCTCTTATATCAACGGTAAGATAATAACGGGAGTAAATCATGAATGATTATATTCGCTCCTGCTAATAGGGCGTGATTTGCATTCATTTGCATAATTTACTTCTGCTATATTTAGTGTCTGTCGGTAATTGGTTTTAGATAGTAGGCTATATTTTCAAAACGAATTCTCAATTAAAAACCAAGGGGGATTGTTCAATCGTGAATCGGAGAAATGCCGTAAAAGGAAAGCTGCGCCGAATTTTCAAGTTAAAATAGGAGAATCGAGGCGACAGACGCTGAAACTACGCCGATCAATGCGTATATATTTACAGCACCTGGCTGTATCTCGCACACGTGGCTATTTGCCCACGATCTCTAATCACAGCTGGGTTTGTAGCTCTAACATTACGCAGTGTTTTACAATGATTGGCCGTAAGCGCAGGTTCAGTAATGATGCTGTGTCGGCTTTTTACGTTTAGGTGAGAACGTAAGGGTGCATGCGCGCATGTCGACTATAGCTGTGAGAGAGTGAGAGCGTAATTACGTGCATCAGAGAACGTGATAGCGAGAGCACATACGCAATTTTGTTGCGATGATAAATATCTCTATCAATAATGAATAATCTATTTATCGCGTACTCTTAATTACATGAGAGCCACTAAAGAGAGCGAGAGAGAGAGTAGAGAGAGAGAGACAAGAGAGAAAGAGGAGAGAAAGAGAGGGAGAGAGAGAGAAGAGAGAAAGAGG